ATATAAAATACAGAAGAAAAAAAAACGGCAACAAAAATAAATACGTCAAAGAGATTATCGTCCAACGAAGGATACTGATTCCTGTCTTTATTTTCTTAGTGAGATCATTTGACGACAATTGGATTAACATATCTAAGAAAGTGATCAAGAATTTTAGCATAAATCAATCAAAAATCTTTATGAAGAGATATCAAATTGATCTGAACAAACGTTTTGTTTAAGTTTGAATGTTTGTTCTAATTCGAAACACAATGGAGTAGAGACGATAAAATGTAAAAATTTTGTCTGTAATAGAAGGGTGTTTGTTATGACGGAATCGACAACATGTTTGGTCCATATAATATCAGATTCCGAACCTTTAGATTCTGTGCATGCTTAGTATTTGATTAATTGCGCAAGAATTTTTTGAGATAAAAAGACGATCATGGAATAATCCTAAAGTTCGACTTCGGATTCGAATATTTCTCAACGTTGTTGACTTTTTTTAAGACTTTCCTGCAGACCTTCGAATTTTCCATCATCTATTCCACAATGTATAGATTTACTATAGTCAAATTCGAAATTCTTTCTTTTAGCTTACTTCTGCCTTCGTTTTGGGTAACTAACTGAAGATAACCGCAGTGAATACTGAACTTCGAAATTAAATTCGAATCCTCGGATCCACTGAATATCTACTCATGGATAAACAAACAAATTGAGAAAGAAATACACTTCAATAAAAATATGTCGCTATACTATATTTTCTAAAATCACAGTATTCTATTATTCATATGTAAGCAATGAAAAAAACGAAATCTTTATTTGCCTTCCACGTATAATAAAACAAAAATAACTACTATGGATATTGTATGTTAATTATGATTTAGAGTTGACATGATCGTCATGTCAATATTGAAATTCGATTGACCAACCATTCCAAAATAGAATATAGGCAAACGAAAAATTGTCTCTTTACTTATCGAACAAAATATCCAATAACAACATATTCTTATCATAAATACGTCAAGCATTTCTTAAAATTCCAATCATTCTCTTCATATAACGATATAAATTTGTTCATCAAACATTTGTTACTCAAATTACGGACAACTTCATATCATCCAATTCTTTACTTACACATATTCTTTTTCACAGACCGTCATCATTGACTCTACGAACGAAGAATTTATGCAAATTGAGACAAAAATCTTCTCTATTGATTAATGAAAACTAAAATAGCCGATCTTGATGTTTTAGTGAAATTCATTTACAGAGAAAATTTATTTCGCAAAAATTCAGTCGTCTTCTTATTAGAATGAAATTCACGTGTTTCAAGTTTTTTGTCAAGTCGAGTAGTCATAATCTTCTTTAATAGACTGAGACAAAATTATTTCATGCATGATCAATCATTATTATCAAAACTGATTGAATAGTTATTGTCATATTCTTGATTAAGATCTTTGTTCAAGATAATTGTGAAGAAATGTCTTATTATACGTGAAAAAAAACTATTACATCACTTCGAGATATTAACTTAGAGTATATGATGATAAGAAAAGTATATACACATGTCTATCACACATTGTAGAGTTTCACTTAATAAATGTTGTTTATGGTTTCGTCAACTGTCTCGACAAAGCCATAGTTGAAAAGAAGGACAGAGAAAATGAATCCCATCTGGTTTTATTGCATCATTTTCTCTTGAAAAAAGAAGGTGTGAAAAACGATTATTCAACAAGCAATTTAAAGTGAAATCTCTTTTCTTAACCAAAAGAAGTTTTCGTTGAAATCGATGATAATATAATCGATCGAACTCCAACAAACGAATAATTTAACGTGCCACTAGTACTATTAAAAACTAGAAAGTCTAGCATGTAATAGTTAGATGTGATTAGTAATCGGATTGCTATTTATGTGTCTGCATGCAGCAACTTGAACTGATTGAAAATGACGTCGTCATTGGGTGCCAAATGTGTATGCACGATACAATGATGATTTGAAAAAATTTTATTCTTTCTTCTTCTTTGATATAAATGTCTCCGTTTTCTTTTATTTCTTCTTCATTCGATGTCGGTCAAAAAATCTCTTTCTCTCCTTTTCACACTCGTTCGTTACTCCGATCGGTCGGACAGTTGAACTAGGTGTACTCGCTACACATATACTTTTGACTTATTCTCTTTTTCTCTCCTGTTCAAAATGGACACGCAATTTGAAACAGAATAAGAGAGAAAAAAAGAAAAGAAAATGAGAACAGACGAATGAAAATGGTTTGAACATGTCACAAATTCAGTTGGAATGTAATCATCAGCTAGTTATATAGGTAAAGTATTCTCTCTCTTATAAACAAGATTTTTTTTGTTCCTTTTTTAGCAGACCATTCGTTGACAATATGAGGTTAATCTTTCTTTGCAATATCTGACACTATTTTAAATGGTCACTTATTGTTTGTTAGTTCATTTCCTTGAGTCTCCATGTAGACATACATTGATTTCCTTTTTTTTTATGGGACAAAGATGTGAACATTTATGTCAATCTTAGATAGGTCACTTAATGAGTAACCTCCGTTTGTGTGATGATCATCAATATTGAGAAAGGATTTGTCTATTGTGAAAAGATGACCCAGATTTGGTACAATGAAAATATTCATTTCATAGTGAATGAATGTCCTTACGCTATATTTAAATAAATGTACCATCAATAAATTGATATTGAGATAGATGAATGATCGTAATAGATGTTTATAATATTAAAAAGTAAGTGAATACGTCGTTTAACTTTTTCTCATTCTCTTTTTTTGAAAATATTATTTTAATTCTCAATAGAATAACACTTAAATTTGAATTATTTTTTTTTCTTTCTTCAAATACGATTAATAAAAATAAAAAATGACATATAAATTGAAAACAATTATGTACTCGTTTATGTAATTTTTTATTTAACTGATGTCATCGTCGCTTTCTCTCTCTCTCTCTTTGTGTATGTGTCTCTCTAGGGGGTATTTCCATCGCATACATGTACACAGATGCTGAGAAGATCTCTTGACCTTCATTTAACTCTTAGACTTATTACAATTACTGTTCTTTTTTCTTTCGTTTCGGTATGTGTAGTTTTTTTTTACAACATGTTCAAGGTTTTTACTCTCTCTTTCAGCGCCGTTACACAGATGCTTTATAGAAATCATTAGGAGAACAGGTCACCCAATTATTATCTTTTTCTGTATGACGTTAAAAGAAAAAAAGATTACATCATGATAGACCTTGTGTTCACGCGGATGAATCTATACAAATTTTAATCTAAACTAATTTGTTACTTATTGTTAACGATACAAACAACGTTTTTTTTTTATTAAATAGAATAATAGTTGAGTAAATATTCATTTTCTTTTATTAAATAAAGGTGAATGTTGAACAAGCTTATCAGATTTTATCGTTCATACGTGTTGAAGATTATAAATCAACACGAAGGTGGAGTGAATAATAAAGGAAACAATCAATACTGATAATAAATATATACCAACGTATAAATCATATTCTCGCCATTTGTTCGAGCATCAAATAAAAAAATAGCATGATTTTATCAATATGACTTTTTTTTATACTTGATAAACTTTTTTAGGAATGAGAAAAAAATTCAATTGTTATATATAAGTATATATTATCTTTTCTTATTTTGATGAAGGGACAAACGTGTCGTTTCGTTGAGCATCACATTTTATATCGTTGAGTTTTATTTGCTCTTCATTCTTTCGTCTCATACACGCGTCTTAACGAAAGACAGACTATAGGTCATTCTTTCCTATCGTTTCATTAATATCACGTACATTCGTTAGAATTGTTTTTGTTGATGTTCATCGTATATATATATGTATACACCTTGAAAAAAAAAGAAAAGAAAAGAATGAATAAATATGCCTAACAAGTTTATACAGAAATGTCTTATCTTCTTATGTCCAATATTCAGGTTAAGATATAAATTTTTTTTTCATGATATAACACAAAAAGAGAACATAATGACTACTACCATAGGATACAATTATCTTGATAAATAGAAGAATTCTCTTATTTGATTGTTTAATTCTTGAAGAATATTGTGAAAAAATCGGTATTAGTAACTGTTTTCGTCTTTTTGCCTCTAATGACTATCGACTGTTGAGCTCATTCATTATTTCTCTCTCTCATTCGTTTCTTCTCACCTTCACGCAGAAGCCAGATTGAACAGGTTAGCAAGAAGCGAAAGTAAATAAATCGAATGAGAAAAAGAGAAAGAAAGAATCAGATTACAACAACGCGTGTTCATTGAGGATCTTTTTTCAACAAACGACTGTTCAATTCGCTTTTTTTTTTGTATAACTATACTAAACTATATCTATTTTTATGTATTCGAACTGTTTCATATAAAACTTCATTATACATTAGAAATGCAATCAATTATAATGTAAGTTCATAACAAATTATTGAGAGATTTAAGATATTCCAACAATTTAAATATACATTCTAAGAAATGATTGCTTTTTTAAATTAAAAATTAGTGCATTATTTGTATAAAAATTTTTGTCATTTTTATTTTGTTTTGAAAAAAAATATTTTTAATCAAATGAAACCAAAAAAAGAAAAAAAAGAAACAAACATCATTGAAATCGTTCTGATAGCTTTTCTATTGTATTGATCAACAATAGAAAAAGATCCTTGTACAAGGTACGATGAAGTGTTTCTTTTTTGTTTACGATAGAGAATCTATCCATCTGTCATTGAAAAAGAAAATGAAACCATTCTTCTATCTGTGAAATATGTTCATATATACATCTCATTTTTCTTTCTGTTGAAATACATCGTAATTAGAAAAGATGAATAAAAAAAAGAAACATTCGTCTAGACAAGTTAGTTTATACACAATGATTGACAATTTGACTAGTAAAAGTAATGAACTTGTCATATGTTTACATAAAAAAAAATTTTATTCAATAAAATATTTATGCAATCAAATAAAAGAAAACTTTTCAGATGGTTAAGTAAACAAATAAAATGGATAGTGAAAGAATACAAATAAATAAAGTACAAAATCAGCAAGATGAAAAAGATGATAGTGGAATTGAACAAGATAATAGTTTTATTTATATTCGAATAGCTGTTGAAGATCATAATTTACAGGTATGATTATTGAATCTAATTTATTATTATTGTATTTTTTGTTCTTAGAAAGTACTTAAATTTAATTTGGATGATACTATATGGAGTACAAAACAAAAAGTCTTACAAGTTCTTGTTCGAGTATGTTTTATTTTTAGAATAATGTTAACGAAAAAAAACAAAAATCATTATTTGACTTAATAGGAATTAACAGATAGTTTAAATTTTGGATTATATTTGCCACCATGTAATGGTCGAGCTGGCAAATTTCTGGACGAGTCTCGTTGTCTAAGAGAATATCCATTAAGTGGACCTGTTAGCTATCTTGAAGTAATTATTCTGAAAAATCAAATTTTATTTAAACAAAAAAAAATTTTTATGTTTTATTTTTAGTTTAAATATAAACGACGTGTTTATAAAGCTATTCATCTTGTACAGAAAAATATTAATTTAAAAGTTAATACAAAAAAATTTATTGATTATATCAAAACAAATCAAATTTCAAAAGTAGCAAGATATTTAGAGAAAGGATTTGATCCAAATTTTCATATTTCTGATGATGGTAAGTCAATTTATATTACACTAGTCAAATATTGAAATTCATAAAAGTAATGCTGAATTTTATCGATATGCTTTACTTTGTCAAATTAGAACACAGTGTTAAACATAATTCGTCATTGCCGATCATTATCTTGTTTTATTCGTGAAAGTTTTATCACGGTGCTGGATAGTGCTATATAAAAAAAAGAGTTCTTAACGAATGTTTATCTTACGACTATTTGTAAATCCTAATAGTATATTCTATTAAACCGATAAATGATTGTTTAAACAGTGTTTTATTCAGCATGCGGAGTGAGAGAAGTGACATGACATATTTCAGAAGTTTGTTGTTATTTCGCTGCATACTAGATAATTTTTTCCGTTGAAGTTTCGAATCGTACCGATGAAAAAGAAAAATTTGAATAAATTATTAGATTTAATACAAGCTACGTTTTAGTAAAAGATTCTTCTGTTTTTTTTTTTTTTATATTAAGAAATAAGAAATCATTGTATGTTTTCGTATAATTATTTCACCTGGATGGATCAAACATCGAACCTTTTGAAATTTGATAGATGAAACTAGTTAATCCTATGTTAAGGTCAATTCTCATAAAATATTTCTTGAATAGAACTTGTGAAAATTTCGTAGATAAGAACAATACTTCTTGAATAACAATTTTAGATTAATCGAACTTAAATTAATTGAACCGATTATCTAGACGAGAACAACCCCTTTTTTGACATGGCACAAAATTTGACATTTATCCCTAAAATGAATAATGGTTCGATCATTTTCAATGAGAATAATCCGAAAAATTTTCAGTTGATATTGATTGATACGCGATGTATAATGAAAATAAATGAATAAATTATTTCAGAAACATCTCTATCATGTGCATGTCTTGATTTACTTGAGCCACGATCAATGATAATGACATTAGTTAATGGTGGTGCTCATTTGGATTTTCGGACACGTAATGGAGGTTTAACGCCACTTCATATATCTGCTATTTATAGTCGAAAAGAAGCTATTATAGTAAGTTATATGAAATTTTAATTCTATTTAAAATAAAATTCTTTGTCAAATAAAGACTCTTCTTGAACTTGGCGCATCTCCAAATGTATATGATGAAAAGAACTTAACACCACTTTATCATTCAATATTAAATAAACAAATCGAATCAAATGTTGATTCATCATATTGTTGTTTATTACTATTACAAGATCATTCAATAGTTGATTGTCATGATGATTCTTTATCTACTGAATTACATCAAGCATGTCGTCTTGGACTTGTTCAACATGTTGAACATTTACTTTTTTATCGAGCTGATATAAATGCAATTAATGTTGGTGGAAATACTCCTTTACATATTTGTGCAGCAACTAATCAGGTAATTTAAATAAGATAATCTTTTCTTTAGATTTAATAGATAAATAACAATGTAAAAAAAGAAAAAAAAAATCATTTTTTTTTTCTTTATAAATTATGGGGCGTTATCAGATGACATTCTTTTCTTTTCTTGTTTTTGTCGTAGCTTTTTTTCAAACATTGTTTTAGGATTATCGGTCTTTCGCCGTATACTTATACACAGCTAACAGTCAGTCGATGATAAATTAGAAAGGGTTGAGTTGAGTATAGTACTTGTTTGTGTGTGTATTTATCTGTCCGTTTGTTCGTTCGTTCGTTCGTTCGTTCGTTCGTTTGTTCGCTGGATAGGCGGAGGAAGAGAAGATTTGTTTTTATGCAATGAGTACGCCCGATGAGAGTCCATTGATTGAGTGAGTAGGAAGACAACGAGAGGATTAGTATGAATGTGACTCTTGACCATATGAACACATCAGATATTGAAGGTGATAGAGATTGATTGATTTTTTATTGAAATAAAATTTTTTTTAGGAAGCTTGTGCTCGTGTACTTCTTTTTCGTGGTACTGATACAAATATTGTAAATAAATCAAATCAAACACCATATGAACTTGCCTTAGTTTCACAAAATTCTTCAATAGCATCAATAATTCAATCACATAAACCAGAACACGTTGTACCATTTCGAGAAGCACCTTTAATTAATCCAAAACGTCGTTCAATTTATATTGAACAAAAACGCGATAAACATCGTGCACGTTCATCATCGAATACAACTCCATCATCGTCATTAACTAGTCGATCACAAAGTATGCCCAAATTAAATGTTAATAATTTTATACGACCAAGTCAATCACCACTAACAACACCAACTATTGAACAATATTTTCAACAACAAAATCGATCAAGTAGATCTTCATCACCGAAATCATTTAGTGTTAATAGTGATCATGGATTTGGAAGTGAATGTGCATCACATTTATCTTCTGGTAAGTTTTAAAAACATTTCTCTTTCAAATACCTGTGTGTTTTTTTGAATAATAAAAACAAAAGGTTCTCCTAATGCAACAAAAAATGCTAATGGTTGTTATACATATAAAAGGAAACGCTTATATGCTGCTGCGCCTGGAAGAAAGTGTATGTGCATTAAATCTTATCATGCAAATTTACCTGGAGAATTATTATTAAATAAAGGAGATATTGTTGAGAGTAGGTTTACAATTTTTTTTTTAAATTCATTTTGAATGAATTATTTTAGTTTTGAGTGTTGGTGAACAAGGATATCTAGAAGGAAGATGTAAAGACATTGAAGGATGGTTTCCAAGTAATCATGTTCAAGATATTTGTGTTTTTAGTAAGTTTAGTTACACTTTTAATCATTTCGCATTATCTATATTAGAACTTCATTTTGTCATTCTTTCGCTGATTTTATAAGCTATATCACACATTATAGAAAGTCTTTATTATAGAGCCTATCGAATCGGTATCTTAAACAATATTCGATACAGATAAGACTTTTAATTGAGCATTTAAAAGAAAAAAAATAAACTTTATTCGTTTTTTATTCCAAAAGAAAAAATTTTTGTTTCGGAAAAAAACTCGAAACACTTACTCTTTATTAGATAATTTTCATCTAATTATTATAATAAGTACAATAATGGATTTTGTCAGATATATTCGAATCTACCGGACTCAACATAATAGGTGGAACAAATACCAACAGTATTGTTTTGCTTGGGTATTGATAAACATTAAATATCAATTTGTACCCTCTAATACAGTTTGGTTCGATCTAACTGATTTTATCTATATTAAAGTTCAATCATTGGCAAGAAATCGATTAATGAACTATTGAGTAGGCTGAAAAATAAGGTGAAACTACGGATCATCGATTTGAAATCTATTCAGTACGTATATGATAGTTCTCTCTTAACTAATCCATAAGAATATTAAACGAATTATAATTCTTTGATTATGATAACTTTCAGAATTGTACTTAAAAAAATTCATATATTCTGTCAATAGTAAAAGAACATAGATGAGTTAACGGATCAACTGGTATTACACCTTTTTCACTCTTTTGTAACTACAAAGGACAAGCCAATAAGAAGATCAATATGATTAGAATGAATATTAGCATTAATTTATATAACTGTTGTTTGGATATGCTGGTTTTCTTTTGTATGAATCAGACATCACTAAATTGTAATACATTGTGTTCGTCGAATAAGTTTGAAATAGAGTTTGTCATATTTATTCTTGATATATATCTATTGAAACTTCATAGAAAAACTATATATATATATATATATATTTGATGAAATTTAGAAAATGGTGAAATGACAAATGACGATACAATTGTTATAAGTCGTGATACTTTATCAGCTTTAATGATTAATAACGATATATACACACCACGTACCATTGTTTTACAACGAGGAAAAAAAGGCTTTGGATTTGTTCTTAAAGGATCTCGAGGTAAATATATTTTCTATGAAAATAATAAAAAACTAAAATCTTTGTTTTTTTATTATAGTTGCAGGCAAATTATTTCAACCAACTCCTTCGTTTCCTGCTTTACAATTTCTTGATAGTATTGAAAAAGGTAGTAATGCTGATAAAGCTGGTCTTAAACAAAATGATTATGTTCTTGAAGTAAGTTTTCATTAAATATGTTGTCATTTATTTAAAAAAATAAATAAATAGATAAATGATGTAAATGTTATATCAATGCCACACGAAGAATGTGTCAATTTAATAAAACGAGCTGGTGATACATTAGCATTGAAAGTTGTTACGGCAAATACATCATCAATGATACATTCTCATTATGAATATCATGATTTACATTCAAATCAACATAATATTTGTTCACAATCATTACCTTATCGACGTAAAGGTAAGTTTTTCTCTATTTTTTAAAGAATAAAATTTAAAAGAATTTTTTTAGCACCACTTCGGCCAGATCTTGAACAAAAATTGAATGGTATGTAGATTTTCTTAATGATTTCTTAATAATTAATTGACTTTTCAATGGCATGCTTCTTATGATCATATAACCTGACTTAATTTAGTTCTTTCATCATTGTCGAACTCATCAAATAGATTATCACCTTTTCATTACTTGTTTCATCCTTCCCAATCGGAATTATTGATCATGAAGAGAAAAGAAAATAATAATTTCTTAGGTATTTAAAAAAAAAAAAACAATCTGCTGCATGCATGCAATTATCACTTGAAAAGAACAGGCGCGTATGCATGTCACTTATATACTCACATATCACAATGCATGTTCGTTTACTTTTCTGTTTGATCACCATTAAATAAAGAGAAAGAAAAAAAAAAATCTATTAATTGGAAAAAAGTTTTTAAACAAATTTTGTTTTCAATCGGGTAGGTTTTTTGTCGAGTAAGAAGTGTACAATTGTTCCCCATCGCATTTATAATCTTAGTTGACTATAAGCTGATTGTAATATATTTAGTCAAAATATGAAAATTTAAGTCATATTGAACGATAGATAAAGCCTTTAGTATGAATATTTCTTCTCAAGAAATATGAAAAAACAAAAATCCTTCGAAAATGATTAAGAAGTTTAACTTTTACTTCAATACACAGTTATTATTTCGATAGCTCTAAACAGTTCACTCAGTTTTTTTTAGCAACTCAATTATTATATATATACACAGTAGATTATAAATAGAAATAGAATAAAAATCTCATTCTGTATTAATCGAGTCGGTTAATATATTTTTAATCAGTGATAGAGAAATGTTGAAAACTTTTATTGATAAAAATAATGTCAAGAAATACTGATGAGAAGTAATATCATGAGTTTTGAAGAAAGTTTTCAAAACTTTTATAAATTTCAAAAAATCATATGTAGGAAATATATGGGAAAGTTTACTTTCTGAGAATCAATTATTATGATTTCATAATGTTTTATTTATTAGTAGACGAATGAAGGTCTATGCACACGCAACTATATTTCTAGTATGCCTCGCTTTAGATAAAGCTGAATCTCATAGAAGAATTTCAAGCTCTTATATGCGTACATACTGAATGTCAGAACACTTCGAAAACGTCACAAATCTTTTTCGAAACCAATGATATTATTTAATTGCAACCAGTATTTTTTTGTGTTATGTTTTACGAATAAAAAATTTGAACAGTTATTTATTATTAATAAAAAATAATAATCAATTCTATTGATATGTAATAGACATATACAAAATGTTTATCGTATCGCTATTGATGGTTCTTTCAGTATATATCGAAACACAAAGGAAAATCTAATAGAAGGAAAATTTTTATATGAAATGAACAAGAAGGAAAGATCTTCCTTATCAAGGATAGAATAAATTCTATAAGACGTGAAAATAGAAATGCGAGTGAAGTTATCCGTGAAAATAGAAATGCGAGTGAAGTTATCCGTGAATATAGAAACAAATGAAACATACTAAGAAGCATCCAATTGCTTTCAGAAATTGCTTTAAAAGAACTCAACGAAATAATTTTATACTAAAGATTTAAAATTATTCTGAAGATTTGCATTCCACAATAATCTACAGAAGGTTTTTTTCTGTGATATCTGGGATCAAATCTTATTGTGCGATTTTCTTTTCTTTGAAGAATATTCTTTATGAGACTCAATACAATCGAAATATTGAAGGTACTATAGAAAGAATATTTTCAAGAAAGAAAACTAACATTGATCTCAATTGAATAGAAGTAGGCATATAAGAAGTTTGAGCACAATCAGTGATACTCATGTTTCTTGAATTAATCACGTGTTTCTGTAAAGTGATTTGATAGTAGAAAGAATCCATTACAAACTGTTGTCTTTCCTCTATTACACTTGTAGAAAATACGACGATTATTTAGACACAGCTCTTATTATTTCATAAGCAACTAAAAATAAATTTTTTTTTCTCTAGAAGATCTTGATCGAACATTGGGTGAATACGATTATGGTAGTATGATTGTTCCATCATCAAAGAATTTTGAAGATTGTATATCAATGTCAAAACAACAGAATGAGAATTTTCCAAATGGATCTGGTGGTTCTATTCATTTGAAGTAAAATAACTTATGGGTAATTTTGTAAAACATATTCTATTAATATTGATTTTAGAAATAAACCTTTAGTTCCTGAGCGTGATTCTTCTCTCTATGATTGTGTTTCTTCATCTCAAAATCAACAAGAATATAATACATTTCGACCATTAAGTCGTGGATCACCTTCAACAGTAATTGTGCCAAATTTATTGTCAACAACAAATGTTCGACGTAATTCAAATTCATCATCAAACGAAGCCGATGAAGAATCATCTTTATCTTCATTGAACAGTAATCATGTTCTACCAACAAATCAAATATCGATTGAAGAAAATAGTACTACTATTTATATGACTTCGTCTTTATCTACAAATACAACAAATATGACTACTTTTAAAACGACTTCAAATCTTCTACCATCAAAACCAAGTGATATTAAAAAACGATCAAATAATCGAAAACAAACTTATGCAGCATTCAATTCCAATAATAACAATAATAATAATTCTGTACCAATAACAATAGAGAATGAAACTTGTTCTGGTCTTGCTCTTCCTCCTCCTCCTCCTCCACCACCACCACCATTTCCGGTTAATTTTGATGTACCAATTAAAATTGAACATCAAACTTCATCAAAATGTGAATCTATAACAACAATATCAGATTTTCAAGCACAAATTGAACAAGCAAAAACTCATTTAAAAAAAGTTAATCTTGAAATACTATCACAGAAAACAATTGTTAAATCACTTGATCATCGTAAGTTAATATGACCTTTGATTAAAAAAATATAAATATCAAATAAGATTTTGGTCAAAATATCATGGATTAATTCTTTCATGTTTCTTGTTTTGGTCTTTTAGCAAATTCAAATAAGAATCATTCATCATCCTCATATTATTCAGGTGAATTAAAAAATATTGTAATCGAGGACATAACTCCTGCAAATGGCTTTCCTCCTCCTCCGTCTCCAACTACCCTTCGTCGTTCAACTCCCCCTGTAGCATCATCATCTCAACGAAATTCGATAGTGATCGACCCGAGATTAGATGTTAATTTTTCTACTGTTATTGCTCAGCGTGCAGCAGAATCAAAAGCTCGTCGTCATGAAAATCCATTAGGACTTGACTTTAATTCAAATGGTTTACCACCATCAACAACTTTTTTTAATAATTGTGTTACAACAAATGGTGTTCATCAAAATTTAACAGCCAATGGTAAGCCATTCTTGTTAAATAAATGAGCAAATAAATTCGATTTTTCAGCTGTTTATCATCATCGTTATCGAAATTAATTATTTTTTATGTAAGAGATCAATGTGTTTTATATACATATGTGGGTTTTAGTCATTTCTTTCGCATGATTAATAGCAGATAGAAAAGAGAATTGTCTTTTGTTTTTGCATGGAAACTTTTGTTTTAGTTATTGTCGTTGTGTTTCTTCTTTTTGTCTATTAGTAAAAAATATCTGTGTTTAGTCAGATTATTTATTCGATTGTTTTAGAATATATACGCAATAAGAATTAAGCGTAATAGATTTGTTTGTGAATTTCTGGATGATGATTCAATGACCTTCAATAATTCCTTGAGAGTTACTTTTGAGTTGTCATTAGATATGAATGATATTAACCTCTTTTAGTCAAAGTGATTATCTTGTTCATGATCTTCAAGAGAATCCAGAGAGTAAAGACCAAAAAAGTTTGAAGCAGCTCACGACTATTGTGCGATCCATTTAATTGCTAATATACTTCTTCAATACTCTGTTATGTATGAACAAAAATGAAGTAATTTAATTTTGGTTTCATTCCTTGCCTCGATTTCGATGAGAATGAGCTGTACTGTATTCCCCTATGCTTAGTTACAAAAGACTTGAATTTCAATACTGCTTCTCCAAAAATATTGAACCACAAAGTTAACGATTGACTCTCTTTCTCGCAATAATCCGAATCTTAAATATTTTGATAATAAATATCACCAAATTGATGGACGTATTTTTATTTTTGAAAGATATTGTTTCTGAACACGATGAGAATTGAAATATTGAATGTACGAATTCTATAAAATATGTCAACATTTATTCATAGAAACAATATTTTAAACAAAACTTCTTTTTGATAGAATCATTCATATGAACTTTTAAGTTGATGAACGGCGTCGCTTGAGTGATTTTGAAAATGATGCAAAGAAAGTTTTTCAGAGGATTTTAATCGATGCGATGATCATGAAGAAATGAGAGTGTCTTGAAATAAAAAGTTCCATGTTTTATCTTGCATGTATGGGGATCCATTAATGGACATTTCCATTCGGTTTGGTATAAATATTTGAAATAATTTTAGGTTCATCATGTCCACAACGATTTAGTGCTACAGCAAATCAATTACTTGAGAATCTGAAACGTCGTGGTGGAAGTACATCATCGATTGGTTCTCTTGTTAAACATTATAATCAACAACAATCTTCATAATTCACGGTTTTTCTTCTGAATTAGCAGAAGATTTGTTCCTTCTCTTATGTATTGTTATTGCGTTTTTCTACTACAACGAATCTTGCTTATCTGTGTGCTTGTATGTGTATAGCTGTTTTTTAATCAGTGATATTCACAGTCTTAAATGTCTGTGTGTTCTTGAAAATGTCGCCTTCGCTTCTCTTTTCTATGTGTTTGTTGGCTATATTTCTACTCTTATCTTCGTTTGAATTTTTTTTTGCATTCGCACTTGGTCCAGCCATCTGACATTTCGTGCGTTTATAACGGTTGCTTATAATAATATAAAGAAATCATATACATGTTTGGATGTTTTATCATAGAAGGAGATTTTTTAGTTCATGAATTCAAGTTTTATCAAAATGAAAAATTCAACGAAACGTTTTCAAATCTATTCGTTGCAATGAGAATTCAAGAGAGAAAGCTAAGAAATTATGCATGGTAATTGACGAGCAGTTCAACATAAATATGTATAGTTTTTTCTTTTTATATATCAGCATAAATTGGAATCTGAAAGTTTATTTTCGTATGATGGTTGGGATATAAGGCATAATGAATGATGCTTCAAGGAATCATCTTGAAAACTCAGATATGCCATGTGATATTAGTTGGCGCTGAATTGAAAGTATTATTGAGCAATTGATCGGTTGTTGACATGATGCGAAAGCAAAGTTTACACTGTCTTGTGCAGTATTCTATACTTGTTTTCTTTACAATAGGAATTTATGTCGACGTTTCGAAGTGTTCCTTCTGCATAACTTTAGTTTCTCTGTTGTTTGATGTCAGAATATTTCGTGACACGACATTTTCGCGCAACGACACTTCCGTGCGACGACACTTCCGCGCAAAAATAATTTTCTTTTGTCTGTTATAACTTGCTAGTTCTTTCGAGCTTCATGAATAACGGTTTATGACAGGTTTGGGTGTGGCTCTAGCTGTGGATGCGTCCGTGGCTGTGAGTGCATCTGGGTGGTGTGCGCTGATTTGTTCACGCGTTTGTGATGGTGGATACCCACACATACACCCACATCTACATCCCATGATTCTGGTTTTTCGAAAACCTGTCAGAAACCGTTATTCACGAAGTTCGAAAGAATGAGCAACTTATCACAGACAAAACAAAAAAATTATTTTGCGCGGAAGTGCCGCGCTCGGAAGTGTCGTTGCGCGTAAGAGTCGTGCGCAAATATGGTGGAACCGAATATTTATCCGAATTATTATTAGATCAGAATTATCATATGTTTAATGGTCTGTTCTACTTTTTGTTTGTGTTGTATATCCAAGTTTCGAAATTTGACACAGCAACTCATATTCTGAGCTCATTTAGAAGTAACTCATTCTAGTTATCTGAACCAAAAAAAGGGCAACATTAGTAGCTAAATGTTTATTTAAAATTTTTAGATAGCTGAAATTTTCTTATATACGAAGCATGTGTTATGTATTTAATCATTATGATATTTAAAAAGAAAGCTATTAAATGTCCTTTTTGTAGCTATTAATGTGAATAGTAGCTGATGAATTAGTTGTTTTCTTAATTTATTGTGTACAATCAATGAAGTTGTATTGAAGATCATAACAGAGTCGAATTTCTTGTAATTGACCTCCTTTTTTCATATAAACCTGTATGGCTGAAGAAAATAATTGAGGTGAATTTAATGTAAGAAAAGCATTTTTAATTGATGACAATGTTGGCTGGTTCAAAGCACGAATATTAGGTATCTTCAATTGATTAAAAAGATATTCAATCGCTTTAAAATAATCTGTTGCTGTCTTATAATAGCATGAACCTATTAACAAAATTCTTCCGATATATTACAAAGAACAGATAACTGAATAACCTTACCATGCTTTTCCCATTCAGCTTGCATTAAATCTTCATCAGGCATGAGACAGTAAAACCGTTTAATAATTGAGAGAGAAAGTTGTTGCTCATTCCGACAATTCCGAGGTTGATCTCGAACCGATACAGCTCTAAATGTTTGTGGCCAAAGACCATGAACAACAAGATCAAATGCATCACTTCGATAGCATTGAAATTCTTTATTGCGTGCAATGTCTGAAAGCGACGCACAAAATGTCGGCGACCTAGAAACACAATTAAAGTATTTACAAGTCTTTTAAAAACATTGAAAATTATTACCAAGATAGACTTAAAAGTAAATAATCTGTTTTACTTTTTGTATTTATCCATTCATTATTTCGTGAGTACCAATTGTAATCATAAGAATTTTTAAAATCTGGAGGAAATGGACAAGATGTTTTGCTAACTACCGTTCCATTTACAAACAGAATCCACGTCAACGACACAAGAAAAAATACTGAAACAAATTCGTTTGACATCGTTATACCGACTGTAAATATGTTTTGAAAGAACAAAATTATTCATTCTATATTCACCTGTTTTGCATTTCGTACAGATCTTTTTTTTCCATGATGATTAATATTAAAATATGCCTTCACAGAACAGAAAGAATTATAATAACATTTGTACCACTGGTCCGATATATACTTATACAGATTCATTCAACAACGCGAAAGTAAACTAGAAGGAATATTATAATTCAACTGAATCATTAGACATTATCATCAGTTATTTTGTAAGCAACTGAAGCTTGAGATATTCATAATATTGAAAATTCTTGTTGTAAGAACTTGACAAACGATGAAATTTGTGAATTCTCAATGTCCTTTTTTTTTTAAAATGTTACTTCACTTTATCTTTTTACTAAAATAAAATCTTTAACGATGCGATAAAAGATAAATTACGTAATCTTATTGATATTTGACTTATTTTCACTTGTCAATTTACAAAGAAAATGTAAGAACAAGAAACAAAAACATTCAGACATGATAAAAGAAGAAAATTTTGAGTCGTTGTACAAAAAGAAATATTTGAGCGTCAAAAATAAATCTTTTGAACAAGAAGAAAAATTATATTTGAATTTTTCTTTATTTAGAATAAGTAATGTGAAGAACTTTTGTTTAATAGAATGCTCATCAGAAACAGGTTATGAACATTGATAGCATTTATTTCGAGGTTTCTTGTCTTTGGGACGATCACAAATGGAATATTGTTTTACATTTGATCGTGTGGAGTTTTCACTTAATTCTTCCGACGGTTGCTTCATCATAGGATAATCGACAATGGCTAACGCATTTTGGATATCCTTATGTAAAAATTTCGAACTTCTCGAGCGAAAATCAAGAATATGAGCAATTAAACTTGTTCGTAATCATTCAGGGAATAAGCGATGTTTATATGTTTTATTCTTATTCTAGTTAGTTTTTTCTTCCCATAAGATTAGAACATTTATAGTGGTAATACCTGTCATTGCATAAAAGACACAAAGTGAGGTGGAAGTGTGAGTGTAGGTGCAGATGATACGAAGATCACACCCAGATTCGCACTCATAGTTTTGTTAGCTGGTTTAGATATGAAGTCATATCAAACACTCAAAATTGGCATAAAAAATGAAGATGAGTTTGTCTTTTATAGTCAACCTTAAATTTTAAACAGTGAAAAATACTAAATATATTTGAAGGCTGAACACATGCCAAGATATCTGCGTTAAATTTTTCTTTCCTACAGTGAGATTTAATGGATCCCGATTATTAGTACTAGGGTTAATAATGCAATAGTTTCCTCATCGAATCGCTGTTGTTGATGGTGTAATTGATTGTCGAATGACTGCTTTTGTTGTTGAATATAACTATTGAAATAATGATTTTGGTGAAACATTAAATTCAAACATCATAGGTAGCTGCTATTCAGCAGGTCGCATCCATGTTGTTACTGTTGTTCTTCTAGCGCACATCTGGAGCAATGTTCTATACAGAAAATACTAAACATTATATTTTGCAAAAGGCAATTTTAAAAAGTTAGAAACTGTTCAGAAGTGACCCCCTTAGTTAGCACAGTGTAGTGTATGCAGCTATTCAATACAACCATCTAGTGAGCATAACGCTTTTCGTATTTTTTGACTTGCACTACAAGAACAAAAAAATGTTTCCCCTCGTTATCGACACATAAATTTAAAAATCATGAAAATTGAAAAGTTTTATAAGCAGGCCGGCGGAGATGAAATCGGTACGGATTTCAGACCGATAGGTCATCAGTAGATCGGTCATTATTGATGCACCTTACTCATATTTTTTCTCTTTGTATGTCATAAAGGATGAGTAATGAAACTTTGTTAAAAGTTGACTGTGTCAAATATCACTATCCACCGAAGGAATAGTATAACAATTCGTCGATCCAGTGTTGGTATGGGATTCAGACCAACCGGCTCAATGGCCACCGTCTTGTAATGGGTGGATCGGCCTATGCAGACAAGTACCGATCACCCAAGATCCAGACCGACTCTATCTCTTCCGACCAATCTCATGATCTCAACCAGGACTAGTATTGATCAAGATTTAGGACGACATATTGTGCACCAGATAGATATAGAAGAATCCATCGACCAGGATTATACCTACTGACTGCTATTTTTCCATTTTACTGTTACTAAATTTATCTTTATTTTCACCCATGTTTCAATAATATTATATTCATTGTCTGATTTTGTTCTTAGATCTTGAACAACTGATCAAATCATAGTCAACTAGACATAGAAGGAGCATAATTAATCATACAAGATACCAAAGGCGTTGCAAGAGATTAAAAGTAAGAAAACTATCAAACTAGTGTTCTGGAGAAATATGGAAAAACACGACTAGGAGGTTTCCGCTGAAGCGAACCAGTCGATCGATCGTTGAATCAGTCACAAATCTAACTAGCTATCGGACTAGTCACCAATAGTGGCTTTAGCTTGAACTCAACTCGAATAGAATGTTGTGATACGCTAAAACTATAAATGAGAAAGTGTTCAATCAAAATTTTCAATGCCGATTCAAACAATAGAAGTTTGTTATGCTTCTATTCCGAAAATTTCTTTGTAGCTTTTACTTTTGTTCAGGATTTAAAGAGTCCTTAATTGTTATTGAACCGAATATTTGACTTACAACAATACTGTATACGAGATAAAATGCGCGAATCCAAAACGATCAATTCTTGACGTTTCTGAAAACAGTAGTCTGTGCTGAAAATCACTGGAATCTTTCAGCAACCTTCCCGCTATAACTTGTTCAGACGATACACAATCTTCTTGAAATCTCTGAAAATCTGATCATTTATGCACAAAATCTTGAAAAGATTATTCTTCGTCGCCTTACAAATAAGTGTTTTATAGATTTCGATTCACGTTTTACATCTTGGTGTTGCATTTCTTTTGTCGTACAAAATACTGACTTGAAGATGTTACTATGTGATGCTAAAATTGATTAACCGGTGTTAGTATATGAAATGATGAAGGATGTTTAGAAACGTACTACTGTCGAAACTGTAGCTTCTCAAAAGAGATACCTTTTCGAACAATGTACAGCTACTTAATGATTAAGTAGCTGATCGTTTCGTAACAACTTTTTCTTTAAAGCAGTATTTCATGTAACTAGGTATTGAAAATCTATCGCGATTTAAACATTATCATAGCTGTTTAAAAAAGCTATGTGGAAAAAAATGTATACAGCTATGATATAATTTAAATGTCTAATTCACTTCTAACAAAATTTCGTGTTGGACTTCTTATTGTAACCAGCAATTGAAAGTTTGCCGTTATATAAAAATCATCGTACCTATTTAAACATTTTCATACATATCTTTATCGTTTTGATAACTTATTATAAACAAGTAAAAGATGTATTCAATACTTGAAATAATTCTTGCTCGAAAAAAAATAATTAGAATGAATGAGCACCTGAGTATTTATTAAAAAAACTACATTTATTTCCTTAGTGTCGCTAGGCATTAAAAGGTTATTAATTTATTAATTTTCTTTTTTTCTTCGGCCTTTGCTCCAAGTAGATTAGTTACAATAAATTGCTGGCTAAGCAATCATAGAACAGCGATGCTTATTTCTTCAGTATTGTTAGAGATCAAAAGGGTATTACTTGACGAATTTTTGTTTTCTTTAGCCGTAGCTCGAGTATATCAGTTAGAAAACAGGACAAGTTGAATATTTCATTAAACAGCTACATTTTTTCTTCGGTATTATAAGCGATTAAAAAGTGATTCGTTGACAAATTTTCGTTTTCTTTTTCGTCCAAACGGCTGATGCGCAATGCGATAGATGCCTAGACAGTTTATCAATGAACTATAAGAAGTATAATCGACGTCTTTTTAAAATCTTAACAAAATTTTGTCTTTCATGTCGAAAAAGAAAATTTCACATAAACCAATATTATCAATAAATCCTATTTCTAATAAATTAATCAATGTAGAATTATTTTAATGCAAAAAAATGTTTTTTTTTAATGCAATATGGGAATTTTCGATCTTAAACGATCATTTTCAACCAAAATAACAGAAACTTTTACAATAGAGATGTTACAAAACATGACACCAAAAACGAAAAGAAAATGATGGAAAAATCTTGACATTTGAAGTACTACCAATATAAACATGAACATCATATTGATTGCATTAAAATAATTCTACATTGATT